GAGTGGGTGGCAGGCAGGGGCACCATCTAGATCACAAGGAAAGATGTGGATGGTTCCTAGCACATGCTGAAGGGACAAAGACAGATCAGAACAAGACACATAATTTAAGAACACGGCTAGACAGAAGATGCATTTTTACAAGAAATGTGCTTTAAAAGTGCAATCTAGAATAGTGGCCTAAAGGGTAAACTAAAGTACACAAGAGGGAAAGAGATAGAAGAGAACAAATGAAAACATAAAATGGGGGGCTGGAGAGATGGCTCAGCGGTTAAGAGCACTGACTGCTCTTCCAGAGGTCCTGAGTTCAAATCCCAGCAACCACATGGAGGCTCACAACCACCCATAATGAGATTCGATGCCCTCTTCTGGTGTGTCTGAAGACCGCTACATTGTACTCATAAATAAAATAAACTCTTTAAAAAAAAAGAAAAGAAAACATAAAATGGAAGATTCACGAAAATAGTGTGGAGGGAAGGAAGACGCAGGCTCTCTACCCAAGACCTGAAGAGAACATGCAGAAGATAGAACAGAAGTTGCTGCACGGAAGTGTGCCTGTTTTTGTCTGTAGTCCTCTTCTCTTTGGCAAGTGAGCACTGTGAGAGTACAGCAGTCAACAGATGCCATTTACAAGTTGGTTTAATATCCACAGGCACTGGATTCCCTGAGAGAAACATCACAGTCAAAGTAACAAATTCTGACAGGTCCACAAAAGAATTCCCACCAGCTATCTGTCCCCTCAGAACATGCTGGCTCTATGACAAGAGGTTTGCATTCAAACTTCCATCAAAACGTTTAAGAAAACAAAATAGCTACATAGTTTTTATTTGCATACTAACATTTGGAATTTGGTCAGAAAAGCAATACTCAGTCCTTAAATTCCTATCAGATTTACTTCTTACCTTTAAGAGAATTTAAACTGGGGCATTAAAAAAATGGTACAAAGACCAAGATCCTAAGCAATAGGGAGCACTATGTGTGTCAGATGAGCCCAGTAAAGATGAAGAGAGACAACAGTGTCAAGGTGTGGGCTGGAGCCAAGTGGTAGAGAATCTGCTCTGCATACCCAAGGCCCTGGGTTCAATTCCTAAATAGGAGGGAGGTAAGAAATGAAATGATATAGCAGAGGATATTAATACCAAGAAAGGAAGGCAACACCAACCAGATCACTAATCCATCGCTAGCCTGGAAGTCAATGAAGAGCAAAACAAACTGAAGCAGTCTTGAAAAGGTGGCTACTAGTCTTCATTCTATCACTATCTCTCCTTCTTCCTACATAAAGTGTATTCCACAACTGACACAAGCGAATCCCCTCAGTCTGTGAGTAACAAGAGGCAGAAACAGATGCTCCAGCAGAGTCTGCATTCTTCATTAAGGACTCACTCTGCACCATCCTTTGTTCAAGAAAAGGAGAATAAGCTTGTCTTGTGTTCAGGAAAGCAACCACTGGAGTTGGGTAAAGTTTAGGCTAACTTGTGTCCTGGGAGCTTATTAGTCTCAAGTTCTTCATCTACAAGTCAAGCCAAAGGATCCCAACAAACTTAGTCTAATAAACCTCTAGTACCTGACACGTATTAAGTGGTTACTAACAGCTCTTGCTGTAAAATGCTTTACTAGCAGACAATGTAGTTTACATGGAAACACACTAGTAACTTAACATCCCCAGAAAGCCACCCTCCATCCTGATTTAGTATTTGATGATTAATGTAGCTTAAGACACTTTCCTATCAAACACCTAGATTCGTCCCATGACTCCTCCCTTTATTTTGTCCACTGCCCTTATTTTTAAAATTCAGTGATCTGCTGCAAGCATCAAACATTAAGAACTTCCTCATTCAATTTTTTCTTCTTTTTACATATTTGTGTGTGTGGTATGTTTGTGTGTGTGTGTGTGTGTGTGTGTGTGTGTGTGCGCGCGCGCGCGCGCGCATTTGCATGTGTGTGGGGTGTGTGTGCATAAGAAGCCCAAGGTTGTTGCCTGGAAAATTCCTGGTTCATTCTTCTAGGTTATCCTTTGAAGCAAGATCTATTCATCAAATCCAGAGCTTTCCAACTAACCTAGCTTCACTAGCCAGCTTGCTCAGAGATCCTTTGTTTCTGCCTTCAAGGGCTGGGATAATACCTGGCTGCCACGCCCACTGACATGTCTGTGGGCTCCACAAATCTGAACCCTGCTCCTCTTGCCTTGTACAAGTACCCTGACTGCTGAGCCATTGCCACAGCCCTCCTGTCTTGGTTTCTCCCTCTGTTGCTATGATAAAATACTCTGAGATAAAAGCAACTTAAGAAACTAAATTTAGGGCTCAGAGATAGCTCAGGGTTAAAAGCACTGGCTGCTCTTCCAGAGGTCCTGAGTTCAATTCCCAGAAACCATATGGTAGCTTATAACCATCCATAATGAAATCTAGTGGCCTTTTCTAGCACTCAGGCATGCATGCAGACAGAACCATGTATACATAATATATAATAAATAAAGCTTAAAAAGACAAAGTTTATTTGGCATATAATTCTGAGTTATAGTTTAGCAGTTTAACTTGAAGTAGCTAGTCATATTACATTCACAGTTAAGAGCAGAGAACAAGGAATGAATGAATGAATGAATTCATAGTATTCTGCTCCTTTTCTTCATATCACTCATTCCAGGGTCTCACCCACAAAACAGTGCTGCCACATTCAGAGAGGATGTCCCCAACCTCAATTAACTAATCCAATTAATTAATTAATTAATCCAATTAAACTCTCTCGAAGGCATCCCCACCACTAACAGAACCTATGCATTTCTTTACAGAGGCGCCCTAAGGGATTCTACAGACTCTGACTATGGAAACTTGCTACTTGCATCCTCTTGTTAAAGGATGCATACTACTCTGAAATTTACTCCATCTAACAGATTCCTTCACACTCTCTTGTATTTTAAACAGTTTTGTACTTTAGAAAAGATCACTGGTCACTAGCCACTTCTGGAAAACTTCCAAAGACCAGCAGGAGCAATTAGCATGCCCACCAATAAAATCATTTCAGATAGAATGTTTCAATCTCTTGACACTTACACAGAGAAGCAGGTTCATAAAGTCAACAGGTGCGGGTAAGCAAGCAACAGAGAGCTGTCTGAATGTACTCATCTCCACAGCTCTTGGGGTCTCTTGGAGTCTTTACTAAGAAGCTCTATGTCCCTGCCTGAGGCCAGGTATGAGAAGATGCTCTTTCAGCCTGCTGGGTATCCATACTTCCCAGTGACTTCCCTAATTTCCCCTGAGAAGGCTTCCTGCTCCCATTTCATACAATATTCAAGAAACTGTCTACCATAGTATACTGTTTTTCCTTGGGGGGGGGCATACGACATACTCACTGGACAGGATCTTTCCTGGGAATCTGACTCTTCACTTCACATCCTACAAACAGCATCCAGAAGGCCCCTTATTATTGACTCCTGCATCTCCAGAGCAGGTCTGTCTTCCAGCCTGGGACTTCATTTGCTCCACCACCAAGCCACACTACATCCTTCTATGCTTCTTCACTGACTTTTGCTCCCTACCCCTTAGCCAAAGTTAACCACAGACACTTTAAACAATCTACTTAAATTGGGGTTGGGGGAGAGCTACTTCTTTGTTTCCCTGAATATTTACTTAAAATGTTTTCCTTACTCCATTTTTGAAGAGAAAACAAAACCAAACCTGGTTTTTCTCTCAAAACAAAGAATACAATCTTGTCAGTTGTAGTCATTACAAATCACTTAATATGTTATCTGTATCTTCTGGCAGTGGCTGAAAATATAGCCAGGTTGGTACAGTGCTTGTTTTTCATCTGTGAGTACTAGATTCAAGTCCCAGCACTGCAGAAACTGGGTGTCAGAGTTACATTCATTATCTCAGCACTCGGTAGGGAGGCAGAAAGGTCAGAAGTTCATCCCTGGCTGAGTATTTGAGGCCACCCTGGGCTAAAGACATTTTGTTTATTTTTTGTTATTTTAATCTTTTGGCAAAGTATTTCAGAAAGAAACATCTGTTTCATAATGGCTAACAGTTTTCACAAAAGAAGGAGGAAGAAGAGGAGGAGGAGGAGGAGGGAGAGAAGGAGGAGGGAGAGAAGGAGGAAGAAGAGGAGGAGGAGGAAGAAGAGGAGGAGGAAAAGGAGGAGGAGGAGGAGGAAGAAGAGGGGAAGGAGGAGGAGGAGCAGCAGCAACAACAACAAGCAGTGAAAAGGTTCACACTTCTGTCTACCCAGAGAGGGGCTGTTCTGCTGCACCACCACCACCCCTCCACCCCAGATCTCCTGACACTACTGCAGTTCAGGACAGAGATTTTCTAGAGCCAAGCTGAGGCTGGAGTCATAGTTCCCTTTGTGCCCTTGAAGCACTTCTGAAGGAATTTGGTTTTTGTCTTATGCACTAAGGAGATAATCAGGTTGCTGTACTTGCCCAGCAGGCATCCCTCTAATCACCTTGCCTTCACAGTCACAGGTGCCCCCAGGATGCTACAGCACAGAGCTAGCCTGCAGCAGAAAAGTACTGTGTTCTACAGAGGCTGCCACTCACCTCCATCAAAACAGTATCTCCTCCCCTCTCTACTCTTTCTTCTCAAAGAGCCACATAGGAAACAGAATTAGCAAGCCATCATCCAACCCACCTTACCTATTGCCCTTGCAAGGATGGCAGACTGTGCCAGCGGCTTTGGCTCTCAGGTTGCTGGTTACTAAGCCACTTATAAGTGGTGACTGCAGCTACCATCTTAATAAGACCTGGGACCACCACCTGAGAGAATGCTTACAAGAGCACCACAGAAAGCATGAAGGGTTGTTTAAATGCAAGAGGTCACTACACTCTGGCTAATCCTGCTCTGGAATAACCCTCTGAAGTGTGGCTGACCCAACATGCCCATGGCACCTCCTGGTGGCTCAGCCCTAATGTGGCAGCTTCTCAAAGCCTCCCCTCAAGCCCGCCCCCCCACCCCCCACCCCCCCCACCCCATCCCGACTGCAGACAATTAGCCAAGTATCATACTTACTCCCTTCGCTCTGGCTGTCTTTGTTGGAATTGTAAACCTGAAAAATAGAAACAGAAATTTACTTTATGCACATTTAATACAAGCCTACAGACTCACTGCAGAAAACCCAAAGAAGGAAGGCAATTTCTGCTCCCTGGCCCTCGAATAAGAACCCCCTCAGTAATGACTTACTCCCCAGCATGCACTTGGCTGTTCTCAAAGAAGCATGGATCAGAACCACCTGCAGAACTGTATAGTGTGGGGGTGGTGTGATGGTAGTGGGTTATCTCACCTTTTTAAGTGGCAAATATGATTTGTATGCACACACGCACACACACAAGCACACACACACATTAGAAGAAGAGAATTGAAAGTTAGTTCATAGATCATTAAGCATTAACTGCACACAAGACAATGCCCTCAGCATTTCACAGAAATGATCTCCATCTACACCACAGCCATGCTTGGCAGAGTGCTACACTATTGTACAGCTGGAAAATGTGAGGCTTACAAAGGTGAGATGAGGTTTCACAGCTGGTTAATGGCAAAGAGACATTATAAACTGTTGAGTGCAAACCCTGGGGGTGAGACCAGGTCCCTTTTATTCTGTATGTAGATTAGAATTTTATAGTGAGAAGCTATCACATTTACAACACAACTTCTTGAACAGTTGATGAAAATCATCTAAGAGACAGTGGTCCGACGGCAAGAAGGGAAATTTCTCACTATAGAGAAGACAGTGGCATACTGTAAAAGTCAGCTAGCTGTTCTAGAAAGGTCAAGATAGGAAACAGTAAATAGTAAAAAGTGCCAAGACATACTTAAATATCAGGAGAAAAAAACAAGCTCTTACAAAATTAAAAATTGAACTTTTTGCCAAAAAAAAAAAATTAGCAGAACCAATATTCTTTGCCTATGCTGCAAAAGGCGGCTGGCATTCCGTTTCTCTGGGATCCAAAGACAGGTCTCTATTTCGTCAATTGCAAAACTTACTCTGTAAATATCACACGTGGTCCATAGTCCACAAAGGGTGGGCTGGGCTTGGCTGCTGGCCACGGACTGCCTGTTCCTGAAGTGTGCAGCTATTATAAGAAGTAGAGTGAAGCCTCTACTTAAGAAAACAATCCCAGTGTCAAATCCACCTGTGTAGGTATGGAAAGGCCTGGGAGGAAGCCGGAATCATAACTTAAATATCTACTTATCTATTCAACTGTCCCTGAGGATCCTTTTGGTCACTCAGCTGAGAACACTTGTTTAATCTCTAAAAGAACTAAGCCAAGAATTTCTGAAAACTTAGCATTAAAACCCGAGAAGATGAGTTTTCCACTAAGAAATGCAGAGGAATGGCTGTCAGGGGTGGGGCAATGGGCTAAAGTGGGCCACAGCCTGCCTTACCTTCTCTGGGCCTTTATGGCTCTGTTTAGGAGTTGCCTGAGAATGTCAGATCCCAAATCCAAGAGATCATCCTGCTTTATTATAAATCACATATATTATTATATTTATTCTCTATAGAAGACTGAAGATAAACAGCCACTTAAAGATCAGAGGACAAGCATAAAAGGAACTTCAGAGCTTAAGAAGGATGCTCTGGTGCCTCAGTCTCCACCAGTGTGCACACTTACAAGTCTGAGAGACACAGCATCACAAGAATAATGGCTTTGGCCTGGACTTCCCCACCAGTCACATCACTGGCTGGATCCTATTAGTTCATGTCAGAGACAGGGGTGATAATAGTTACTTGGCATATGCCTACCCTGCCTGCCGTGAACATCCAGTGAGATTATCAAGAGAAATAGGCTGTCGCAGTTCAAGACAAAGGAGGGTGCTTTGTCCTATGATTCTGCCACAAAGAATGGCTTACCCTCCACAGACTCTGGAAAAGACAAAACCCCACAAAGTCTAGGTAAATCTGAAACAAAGCTGCAGGTGGCTCTCTGAGCAGCGTTCATCACTGGGATAAATGAAGTGTCTGGGCTGGCTGCATTTGCTAATGGATTTCCATGGCATTGCACAAAGGTGACAGAGGGACTTGGAGAGCAGCGGGGACTCTTAGTAGCCAAATGTCATGTCCTTTGGCTTTGATGAGTTTTATTCAAGTGGTTATTAAATAAGGGATACTGGTTTTGAAACCTTTCCAGTCCTCAGCAATTCTTTTGCTTGTGTTAACAAATGCCACAGTCTGGCAGTGATTTAGGTGCCACGGAAAAAGACGGGCAGCATTCTAGGAGCTCTGCTCACATGGAACTATCCTACTAGGGAAGAAAACAAATTTACAAATATGATTCCTTCAAATATTGACAAGTACAATGGAGTTCTGCAAAGGAGGCATTGCGTGTCTAGTACGGGGGAATGCTCCCCTGGAGAGAAAATAGCTCCATGAGTATAGATGATAAAAGAGGAAGGTCTAGGTACTCATGTCCAGTAAGTGTTGTCTTATGAAGGAGGAAGGTCAGTGTGGTTGGCAACCACCGCAAGCCATGCAACAGTGAGGATTAAGGACAAGGCTCTGAGGTACAGCCAGACCCCTGCTCAGGGAGGGAAATGGCTGGCCGGGTATAATCCCCAACCAGTGACCCATCCCAACTACACTCAACAACCTCGGAAAGCCGAGTAAGGGCAACATAGGAGGAGACAGCATTTTGGCAAATTTGTTTGTTTTTCCTTCCAGTCCCCCTTGATCATTGCATTTCTCCAATTCAATCCGAACAGTTTATCCAAGAGAAACTTGTTCAGATTGTAAAAGCAAAATCCAAAAGGATAGTGAAACTCAGGGCTTTCAGTTCTCCTTAATTAAGAGGCAAAACCATGCCAAATTATTAGCCTTCCAGGGTTCCTGAGTCTCAAGAGACCCCTGCCTGGAACACCCAAGCACGTTGAGTTGGAGAGGTGTGATCAATGAGCCAAAGACACCAGAAGCATGTGCTACCCCATCCTCCAAGGCCACGCCATTAATCTCTGTCTGGTCTGGGTAAATGAGCCAAAGACAATGGGTTTTGAAATAAGACTAACAACCAATCCTGCCAGGACTATGTGATCACATGACCCAACAAGGTAGACCAGGGCAGGCAGCAACTTCATGATAGATAATAGCTTGGGAACAGCACTATAGAATGGTGTTGCATCCCAAGCAGTTATGAAGTCCTCATCTTGACAGCATCCAATGCTTGAAAGGCCAAATGGATTAGCTTTAGTGTCACTATCATTGTACATGTATGAACCTGATGGCAACAATGACGACGACGATAATAAAGTTAAAGTGATATCAAGAGCAGCCAGAACAAGTGAGTCATACAAACAATAATTTACTCTTGAGTCAGAGAGAAGATGAAACTGGTAATGCTCTTGAGATCCCAGCCTGATATAACCACCGCCTGCCCATGCATCCCACTGGCTGTTAATGTGGAAGTAACACTGCCTGTCCTCTCTGAAACAGAGAACTCCATATGTGACAAATCACTACGCCAGCAAGGCAGGACTCTCTTACAGACACAAGGCCCTGCAGGTGCCCATGTCCTTACCCAGAAACTACAGTAGGGGAACAATTTAATAAATCACAAGATGCAGAAAGCCTTCATATGCTTTCTTTGCAACAAACGTGATTTGGCAATACATTTTCTAAACTGCTAAGCCAATTCAATCTACATGCCCCTAGAGAATTTTTACAAAATGCATATACTCATTTGGATTCTCAGAATTTTTCTGTGGGTAAATTTCTGGTGCCATTATCTAAGTCATATTGACAAAGCACAGACAGGTACTTCTTTAAAAATATATAAATGAAGGCATACATAAAATAGTAATTTGAAGAACCAATCTTACTTTTCCTTTGGCTGCATAGCTGCATTAGCACTTGGCCACACACTTCAGAACAAACTCTATACAAAGAAGGCATTAGAAAAATAGGTTCATAGGCAAACTTATTTAAAACTATTGTTTCAACCAAGATGGTCAACTAGCCCGGACCCCTGGAGGCTAACAGAGACTGAGCCAGCAACCAAAGAATGCACACAGGCTGGACCAAGGTCTCCAGCATGCGTGCCTGCATATATATATATATATACATATACATACATATATATATATATATATATACATATATACATATATGCATCTCAGTCTCCATGTGGGTTCTCCAACAACAGGAGCAGAGGTCATTCCTAAAGCTGTTGCCTGTCTGTAGAAGCCATTCCCCAAATGGGCTTCCTTGTCAGTGGGAGAGGATACACCTAACACTACAGAAACCTGATGCACTAGAGTGGGAGGGGGATACCCAGGAGAAAGGGAGGAAGATGAGGGGAAGAGAGTCTGTGAGGAGGGACCAGATGGGAGAGACAGCAATCGGGATGTAAAATGAATATATAAATTAATTAATGAAAAAAACAATTAAAAATATATACATTATAATATATATATGTATATATATATATATATATATATATATATATATATATATATTATTGAAACCCCTTATTGTTTCTACATGAACTACATTGTTTTACTGTTTTACTCAGCCCCAAACTCTGACTCCTTAAGGCCTCTTCCAAGTAGCCTAAGATATGTGAGCTCGCCCTATCTGCCTGTCCCCTGGTATACCATTTTGGGAACACAATAAACAAGGTATGAGTTAACATCTTTGAACAGTGCTCAGGAGGTTTCTGTATCACTGGACATCATGACTAGCTGAGATATGCTCCCTCTGTGCTACCCCGGGACTGTTGATCCCTCTGCTTCACATCCTAATACTGTGATTACAGGCATGCACGCCCACACCCTCCCTTACTTGAACTTGCACTTTTGTGTTATTTGCCCCTCCGTGTAACCAGTTCATAGTAATGTGCCATAGGTCAAACTCTAGCTTTACCATTTGCACATACATCACTATATATTCCTAGGCCTCAGTCTTGTTATCTTTAAAAGAGGAATAATAAGGGCTAGAGAGATAATCCAGCCATTAAAGTCACTTGCTAATCTTAAAGAGGACCTGTGTTTTCAATTCCAATTCGCAGCACCCATTATGGTGGCTCACAATGTCTGTAAATCCAGTTCCAGGGGATCTAA